CGGACGTATTCTTTTATTATACCACTGCCACCTGATACATTTTATCAGAAGTGGTCACGAGAACCGAATTTTTTTAATAAAAAAAAAAGCGTTTGAGAATATAAGTTTAAATAAAAAGCAAACAACGAAAATGCAGAAGGACAACGAAGTAATCAACGCCGAGAGGTACTCACTGCTGCAACTAAAAGCCTGGTGCACAGCAGTCGGTATAAACGCAAGTGGCGCTAAGGCTTCGCTAGCTGCAAGGCTCAGTGAGTTGTCAGCGGAGGCACGCGGAATGTGCCCAGGTGAAGGTGCTCCGGGCAACGATGGAGCGAAAGGACGAAGTGGTCACACGCAGAAAAACAACGTCGAGGATAATGGCGCGCGCAATATTGGGAATTGCGGCGAGGACAATATAATGCGCAATAATGCAAATAACGGCGAAGACAACGGTGCGTACAATGTACAGAACAATGGTGAGGGCAATGGTGTGCGAAATGTTCGAGATGACGGCGAGGACAACGGAACGAATAACGGTGAGAACAACGAGGCTAGCAGCAGGGCAAACATAGACGACGGCGAGAACAACAACATACAAAGGCGTACAAGAAGTGAGGCTAGAAACCGAGGTAGCAACGATGAGGATGTAGTGTACGTGCGAAACAACATAGCGCGCGTGCACAGCGGTACTTTTGGGAACCGTATACAAAACGCCGGTGACATGAATAACGGCGAAGCAATGCGACATTCAAACGACCGTGATAATGGCAACGTCGAAGTAGCGGCACTCAAACTCGAGCTCTTGAGAAAAGAAATAGAATTCCTCAAGCTTCAGAAGACGCTTCTAGAAAAAGAAAATTCAATGGCAAGTACAAGCAAAGGGAAAAGCGACGATATACCCTTCGAAACCCTTAAGGAAATAATTCCAATTTATGACGGCGGAGACGGTTTCAACGTTTGGTACAACCAAATATTGCGCTATCGCGAAATGTTTAAAATTAGCGATACCATGTTGGGCGTCACTGTCCATCTTAAATTGAAAGGTGCTGCCCTGGCATGGTACAACGCAAAAACAACGTTCCCTAAAAGTGTAGACGAATTGCTTGGTGAAATGAAAGCCGTTTTTGCGTCCGGAGATAACAAACTCGAACGCCGGCGCAAGTTCGAGAAACGATGCTGGGTACCGGAAGAAAGTTTTGCCAACTACTTTAACGAGAAATGCATACTAGGCAACGATCTTAACCTAAGCGACGAAGAGTTAGCCGACTACCTGATAGAAGGAATACCCGATAGACAGCTGCAAAACCAAGCGAGGTTACAAAACTTCACATCAGCCAACGAAATTGTTAAAGCTTTTCGCTCGATTACGCTTCCGGAACGCCCGACGGAAAGACCACGTACCAGCCAACGGATGAGATGCTACAATTGTAACTGCTCCGGCCACTACGCCAAAGAATGCAGAAAGGCAAAACGTGAACCAGGATCCTGCTTCGCTTGTGGAGCAAAAGGCCACTACGCTTCGGACTGCAAGGAGTACAAGAAAACAAAAAATAATTTCGTAAGTTATTTCAAATTATATGTATTGGCACATGCTAACGTTGATATGTTCATAGAATGTTTAGTGGACTCGGGCAGTCCAGTTAGTTTGATAAAAGAAGTTGTGGTACCAGCAGGAGTGCAGTTAGAACGAGTTACAGAATCATACCATGGGTTGAATAAATCAGTTTTAAATATCCTCGGGAAATTCAAATGTACAATCAAAGTTCTGAATAAAGATGTTTTAATCGAACTCTTGGTGGTTCCAAATGAATGTATTGGCTACTCAGTGTTGTTAGGTAGAGATTTTATAGAAGCAAGTGACGCAACGTTGAAGATCGGAAACTCAGAGTTTATGGATAAGGTAACAGAAGTGAATGTATACAACGAGGCGGACAAAGCGGAGAACAAAGTCGAGAACATATATGAGGATGAGGAAAATACCAAGTTAGTTGTTAATAGTAACGAAGGTGCGCATAATGTCAAAGGTGTGAATAATGTCCAAGGCGCGGTCAATGATAAGTTCAGTGAAGGCAATAATGTTAATGAGGTAATAAACGAAATTATGGCAATTGATATAGTCGGAGAAGCAGATATAAGTCTGAAACTAGGCGAAAACGTTAAGTGCGATAAAAAGAAACATTTTCAGGAGATATTCACGAAGGTTTATGTGAACTCAAAGAAGCTTGATAAGCCCCTAGTTAGAAAAGAAATGAAACTCGTTCTGGAAAATGATAAACCGTTCGCTTGTACCCCAAGAAGACTAGCGTACAATGAAAAGATAGAGTTACAGAAAATAATCGACGAATATTTGGAAAAAGGTTACATACGACAAAGCGAGTCAGAATTTGTGTCTCCGATAGTGTTAGTCAAGAAAAAAACAGGCGAGCTTCGAATGTGTGTCGATTATAGGAAGCTAAACAAAGTTACAGTAAAAGACAATTACCCAATACCACTTATAGACGACTTATTAGACAGGCTAGCAAACAAAAAGGTATTCACCAAGTTGGATTTAAAGAACGGGTTTTTTCACGTATTCATGAACGAAGATTCAGTGAAGTACACTTCTTTCACCACTCCTTTAGGACAGTACGAATTTTTAAGAATGCCTTTTGGCCGGAAAAATGCTCCTGCAACGTTTCAGAAATTTATTAACAAAGTTTTTGCGGACATGATCCGAAGTGGAGAGGTTATAGTTTATCTCGACGACATTATGATAGCAACACAAAGTATAGAACAACATTTAGAGGTGTTAGAGAAAGTTCTTTTGAAGATTGTACAGAATAATTTAGAATTACGGTTAGATAAGTGTGAGTTTCTACAACCCAAAGTGTCTTATCTAGGTTACGTTATTACTGGCGAAGGTATTCGAGCAGACGAGAAAGGTATAACAGCAGTCGAAAACTTTGCAGTCCCAACCAAAGTCCAAGAGGTTCAAAGTTTTCTAGGTTTATGCTCGTACTTCAGAAGATTTATAAAAGATTTTGCAAGCATAGCCAAGCCCCTCCATGACCTTACGAAGAAAGACAATAAGTTTCAGTTCGGGAGTACAGAGTTAGAATCATTTAACAACCTTAGAGAAAAACTAATAGCGTTCCCACTGTTGGCAATTTATGACCCCAACGACACGACGGAGTTACACTGCGACGCAAGTGCTATAGGGTTCGGAGCAATATTGCTGCAGAAGAAAAAGGATGGAAAATTTCATCCGGTGTTCTATTTCTCCAAACGCACGACAGAAGTAGAATCAAGATATCACAGCTTCGAGCTGGAAACTTTAGCAATAGTGTACGCATTGAAAAGGTTCAGAGTCTATCTGCAAGGCATAAAATTTAAAATAGTTACTGACTGCAATTCTTTAACCCTGACCCTCAATAAAAAAGATGTTAACCCGAGAATAGCGAGATGGGCTTTAGAGTTACAAAATTATGACTACGAACTCGAGCACAGAGCAGGCAAGAGAATGCAACACGTAGATGCACTAAGTAGAGTAAATAATGTACTTGTAATCCATACGAACACTTTTGAAGAAAATTTTATTATATGCCAAAGTAGAGATGAAAAGATAACAAAGATAAAGAAAGAGTTAGAACTAAATGAGAGTAGCCACTATGAGATGAGGAACGGAATAGTTTTTAAAAAGAAAGACAAAGATTTACTTTTTTACGTACCTGAGTCAATGGAGCGACATGTCATGTATAAATATCACGATGAGATGGGGCATCTAGGCGTAGATAAAGTTGTACAAACGATAGGTAAAAGTTACTGGTTCCCGAGTATTAGAAAAAAAGCAAGCAACCATATTGAAAACTGCTTGAAGTGTATAGCATTTTCAGCTAAAAGTGGTAAGAAAGAAGGGCTACTACATATGATACCAAAGGGAAATACCCCATTTGAAATGGTTCATATCGACCATTACGGTCCAATTCAAAGCAAGTGTACCAGGTACAAACATATATTAGTAGTTATAGACGCGTTTACAAAGTTCGTTCGCCTCTACCCTTCAAAAACTACGGCATCGAAAGAAGCGGTGGTAGCACTGAAAGATTATTTTAGAGCATACAGCAGGCCAAAAACGATAGTGTCAGACCGGGGGACTTGCTTTACGTCGAAAGAATTCGAAGACTTTTTAGATGATAGTAACGTGGAGCACATAAAAGTTGCAACGAACTCGCCCCAGGCGAACGGGCAAGTCGAAATTGTGAACAAAAGTTTAGGCCCGATGATTGCGAAAATGGTTAGTTCCGAAAACGAAGTAGGTTGGGATAAAACTTTAGAGTCAGTGGAGTTCGCAATGAATAACACGGTGCATATGGCAACAAAAGAACTCCCCAGTATACTGCTGTTCGGAGTAAGACAAAAGGGAAAGGTCATAGACAGCGTTCGAGAAAACGTAGTAGAGCCTATACAACCACACGAGCAGAGTGCTATAGAAAACATTAGAGAACGGGCAGAAGTAATGCAGCGTAAATCACAAAGTTATAACAAAGAGTATTCAGATGCCAAACGACGAGATCCGTGTAAATTTGACTTAGGGGACTATGTAGTTATTTCTAACGTTAACTCACACGTAGGGACTTCCAGCAAGTTGATCCCGAAGTTCAAGGGACCGTATAGGGTATCCAAAATTTTAGAAAATGACCGCTACGTAGTGGAGGATGTCGAAGGTTTTCAACTAACACAAATTCCCTATAAGGGTGTCTGGTCAATCGCCAACTTGAAACCATGGTATGATTCTAAAAAAGAAAAGAGAAATGTAAAAGGGGGCGAATAAATTATAAATAGCAATACACATATACATTGTTAATTTATATACGGCGTAGAATCAGGTGATTCTATGAGTCAGGACGGCCGAGTTGTAGGAGCCGTAGGGCACTTTAGTAGGTATACGTATATGCATGTGC